TTAATCAAGATAAGGTTCTTCTTGTACGAGTGCACACGAAGACAAGTAAATCGTGTTTGCATTAAGCAAACTTTATCCCGTGTGACATGAGAAAATCGTATTTCCATTCACGTGCCTGTCGGTGATGACCGCCTCGTGTAAAGAATTGAGATTCTAATACGAGAAGAACCGTGCGCCAATAACAAACACACCGATCTTCTTCTCCCTTGTGCGTACGTAGTTAAGCGAAACGGTCGCTGTGAGATATACGAGTGTCGCAAGGGGTAGTGCCCGACGACAGCGATGGCATCATCACTCTTGGACTCGGTCCACATGCATGAACTTAATTCGCGTGTGTGATACAATTCCTTCCTTAATTTACGCCTCCAGATGCAAATAAAGTTAAAGAATCGAGAATCCTTGGTAAATTCAAGCTATTGTGAACTCAAAGAGATTGAATTTTTTAACTTGACGTTTTCGTGATGGAATTTATGCAATCATTAAGCTTGGCGTTAATAAAAGGATCGATCACGCAATGGCGCATCATAACGCTTTTTCTTTTTCTCACGTCATCCCATTCACACTTGTGCCCTCGCCAAAGTTGACGTCAAAATTTCAGATGACGAATCTCATCCCCTTCAGACGAAGAGATTCGTCACCAAACTTTGCCGATCCATATTTGTCACACAGTCCATCTCGTTACCCAGGTCACCTATCCAAACTTGGGTGCCATAATAACAGGAGAAGGAAGCATCTTCTCTTTTGAAAACCACATCCAAACAACCCACGTATCATCGATCAAAAGTGTTTCTTACCGGATTAGGATTCGTATTAAAAAAAAAACATATACTTGGCGTTAAGGTTTTGATGATGGACAAATTGAACATCATGTGTGGTCAGGTGAAGCGTTTCCCGGGAACCCTTTTTAAACATTCCGTCACTCGTCCCCGTCTTTCATCACCAATACCCGATTCACCAGCCTCCTCGTGCGTGCATCTGATTGTTCAGTGACATGATCCTGCGCGAAAAGGAATAATAACATAAATGAGGAGTGATCGACTCAAATTTCATTCATTGTTGGATATATTTACGTGTCAACGATACCGTTAATAATTAAGGGGAACGTGAACCACGAACAGTGCGTCCAGGGAAGTTTAACCCAATTTGGAAATATCTTCAAGAATGTTGGTCGAGCATGAATGGTCCATGAAAACATGTGTTCAGCAAGCTGGCAAGAGGCAACTTAAAAAAAAAAACCTCACCTACGGAGATTGTTTGCAAATGAATAAACGTGATCACGCGATACGGTCATCGTGCGTATCATTCCTTTACCAGGTTTATCCAATATTAATAATACTGTACCATTACATGACGATCTACCCGTTGTTCATATGTTGCGGTAACTGTAAATGCAAAGTGAAATGATTCCGCTGATACCTCATCATCATTGAATGCCTATTACCGTAATTAAGCTTCAAATAAGGTTAAGCACTAATAAATGCAATCAAAAGATACCAATCACCACCCCAATGTTATCAAACGCTATCACAAAAGATGGTGGTTAAATAGAAAAGCTAATAAGTGAAAAAATAGCTTGAAAAGGATAGGACCGATACGTTCGGAAAATCCATGGTGCCATTTACGTAACACCAATTGTTCCCACCGGAAGTAAACATCCTTCTCTTTGATGTCATCCTCTCTCACGTTCGACATTTGTGAAGGGTAGCGACAGATGGCGATGACGGTAATCGGGCAACATATTATATCACCATTACGTTTTACATTTCATTACCACAAACTCTGGGCTACCAAGAATTTATGTTACCGTAGTATGAGTTTTTTTACGTGGTACCATGAATTTGCGTGTACATTATAAATTAAAGTTTTAGTTTTTTTTTTTTTTTCATAAATTAGTCTTCATATTTGGAAAAATAACATTAGGTGTATCATATTCCCTTCGATGGTAATGATTAAAAAATTAAGCTATTTTAAATGACGTGGCCTAAAAAGGGATCGTGCGATTGGGATCTAATTTTTGGTTCATTTGGGATTTACGACGTCGCCTTCTCTTTTTAAATTAAAATTACTCCATGTGGGCATCATGAACATATAATGGTACTTTTTGTTTTCACGTTCCTCGGTGATATCGTCACCTTCCCGGATGAACATCGTGATTGCAGTAAGCTTAACGTGGAATACCGTACAAATAAGTTTCTTTCCGGTTTGATCGACCGCAAAGTGCCACCACTCCGGTTTGATCCTCTTTAATTAACCATCAAGAATAAAAAAAAAAACAAAAATGAGGTTTCCTATTTCACTCATCCAAGGGCGAATAAGAAAAAAATTTTTTTTTAAGGAAAAAAAAAAAGCAGATAATCGGGTGATGCCTCGGTTCTATCCGCTTGTGTCTGAGATCAAGATACACCGGATGGGCTGAGTTTGTAATCTCACGGTCAAGAGCCAGCCAGT